TGTAGCTAATAGTTAAATTATCATTTTAAACAAAAAGTTAAAGGATAATGTATATGTTTTTATTTGATATAATAATTGTTAGCTTGATATAAAAAAATTAACAAGTTATTATAATATACATAAACCAGATCTAGTTAAAATTTTAAAATTTCTCTGAATAATTATTTGAAATTTTAAAATCCATAGAAAATTTCATTTGAAATTGTTGGTTTTTCTATTTTTGGATTATTGCAGAAAAATGAAAAATGAAAAAAGAGAAAGGGACCCACAGTCATCATTATTTCTGAGGGTTATTTTGTCTTTATATACCCAAAACGTATATACGTATTTTAATACTTCCTATTTTTGCAAATACGACCCAAATACTTCCTATATAGCTAATTGTCTCATAAAAGATCACTTAAATGTCACTGATTGGATTTCGTTTTTCGATCAGTTTAATTTGAGAGTTCGGTTCCAAATTTTTCGCCAAGTGAGGACAAAGTGATATGATTAAACGGGTTTAATCTCCATCCTTTTAGTTCTCTTTATAATTTCATCGCCATGTTCATTTTCCAATACACTTTCTGATTTTGTAATTTTTTTATAATTCCAGATTTTTATCCATTGTCCCTAAATTCATAATTTCAGTTGCAATCATCAACCCTTTAGAAATATTTCGTTGATGTAGTATGAGTATGGAGAGCTTGTAGCATTACTTGGCATATATAAAGAGAATGTCATTTTCAATCAACCTGCTTTAAAAGAAAAAAAAAAATCTTGTTAACCTTCGATAATCATGTATTTCTCAGTTAGCAACTTTGTATTCCTTAACCTGAATCTTTATACCCAAACAAAACTCAAAATAGATCGAATGTAGTACATCTTTCTTTTCTGAAAATAAAATTTTGTTTCTTAGGAATTTCCTTTAAACCTTCTTTGGGTTTTGGCATTTCTTCATTAGGTTGAATAGGTTGCCTCCCAGTGACAGGTAAGATCTGAACATTCATAAAAATCTAAATTTAGCATACTGTAATTTAGATGAATTGACATTCATTTAATAGAGACGACAAACATGCAAGTACACACCCAAAAGAAGACCATCTATACTATTGAAAGCAGCTATTTGGGGCCTCATAAGCTATCCACCTCAGCATTTCTCTCAGAGTTCCCGTCCTGCCACATCACCTGCTTAAAAAAATTAACACCTGTCAATAAGTGTTAAAGAAAGATGAAAATCAGATCTCAAAATTGCCGATTCTGCTTCTCTCCAGCGCAAGAGTTACAAACTGAAACACGCCGATTCCTCTCCTCCTTTACATCTCCTTTAAACACGAGGAGAAAAACGATCTCACTCTCTTTCTCTTCTTTCTCTATCGCTCCGTAGCACCACCATTACTAAGATGCGGCGTTATAGTACTGGCGAATTCTTCTCTGTGAAGACGATGACGCTTCTCGCGTTTCTTCTGATCTGTAGTTTCTCTCTTGCTTTTTCCGCCGAGTCTGATATCGGGACTGACTCAGTTGTCACTCGGGAGGGAGATCAATGGAACCGCAGCTGAGTCCAACGCGACGAGCGCGAAACCTAAGGAAGACAGTTTCTCCGGTATGATCGATCGAGCACTCGAGAAGGAGTTTCCGGAGAATGACCAGAATGAAGGTACATCTTCTAGATCTACATTTTTTTTTATCAATTTTGCATTTTGATGTTTAGTACGCCCCTATTGAGCTAGGGTTTTTGTCGTTAGAGATCAATTAGCTAGGGTTTTTGTCGTTAGAGATCAATTTAGCTTTCAATTATTTATTTCTTCTGTAAAAATTTCAGGCACCAAATCTGTAGTAATATCCAGCGGACCATAGGTACGATATTGCCCTCCTTATTCTCAATCTCTTAAACTTTTGGGTTTTTAAAATCAGGACCTGACCCTTATATTGATTGCCTTTGTTTTTCTCACGTTCATGCATCTTAAAATGCTAAATTCAGTTATATTTTACAGGTTTCGTTGCGTTAACATTCATGGGTTTTTTAATACATCAGCTGTTTTTTAAGTTTATCATTTGCGGTCTGAAAACGCAACCACGGTTCCTTCATGGTTCGGTTCGGTTTTGCTGTTCATGTTTCAAGTGAGATTTATATCGGTTCAATTTAAGTAGAATAAGATCCGCATCTTTTATCTGTGTGGTCTCGGGTCGGATTTTTGAAGCAAACTGAGTGAACTGCTCAACTCGCTATTTTTAATTCGGATTTGCCCCTCCTAATCTTGTTTCCAAACACTTTTTACTCATAATCTCAATGACATTTTTCGTAATAAAATGGGTATTTTCGGGTGGCTCTAAAAATGTACATCTAAAATAATATATTAGAGATTTTTATTTTATTCGCAGGAAGATATCGGTTTGATTTCGGGGTAATTGGTCTTTTTACAGGACCCGGTTTTCTTCCGGATTAATTTTAAAAATTTGGATATTTTCCTATTTGGTCACATAGATAACTATATAACTTTTAAGAAAGTGGGAATATTTTCTGTTTGGCATCCTAGATTGCTTCCACTTTAATAATATAGATTGTGAATTTGTGAATCACGAATTCCTCATATTTTTATTTTGCATGGTATCATAATCAAAAGATTGCAACAAAATAAGTAATTTAATTATGTTAAAATATTTTACTCAAAATGTAAAGACTTTGTTTTTTGTTTTTTGTTTTTTTTTTATAATGGGCTTTAAAATATTAAGATTTAACAAATGATATTTCATAACAACAGGTTAGGAACACATTCACCCGGTTAATACTCGGAAATTCCACTGGCAAAGAAAAACGTCATCTGAATCACACACTCTATAGTGAGAGACATCACTGTTAAACCAACAGAAAAAACGCGAAATAATAATACTGAAAGATGCCACTATATTTTTCACGTCTCTTTTCTTTCAATTCTAGTCTCATGAGCGAGCATCGAAAATATAGTCTCATGAGCGAGCACCATTGGCATCGAGACGGAGTCACGGCCAAAGAAAACGAACCAAAGATGGTGTCTAATCTCAAATAAACCATAAATAAAAACAAAATGAAGCAACATCGATAGAGCAAAACCGCAGCGACCAGATCTACAGTATTAAGAACATAGCGATAAAAGTACTTATGAGAATTTTATCAAAAAAAAAAGTACTTATGAGAAATATTTTTACCAAAAGTGGATTCTAAATTTAAAGTTAAAGAATGATAAATATACAAAACATTATATATAGAGTTGAACAGTCACCAGTATTTAAACGAACACGTACATGCATAACAGAAAAAGTCATTGTGTAGATAAACGGTTATAAACTCGGGAAACAGTTAATAACGAACACGTACAAACTGTGCAAGGGATTCATTCAATTTAAGAAAAAAAAAGTTATACCTCTTTCATCACCTATATCAATCATCAATGGTTAAACGGTCCAAAACTACGTCTTCTCCATATCTTCATCTATATCATTTTTATTTATTACTTCTTCCTCCTAATCTTCTACATATCTATATATCTATATATGTACGTACATTTTACACTGTTTCACTACATGTCATCAAATATGTTTTTCTTTCTTCAAAATATTCACTAAAATGTTACATACACTAATCGCACCAAGCCCAGTCCAAAAATAATCGAGGCTTGTTCACAGGCTGCTATGACCTCATGACACCGTTTGAAATCATATATTTTTACGTTTATTATTTCTATTTTTTTTGGGGTAAAAATGTAGATGCTCTTACGTTTGTTATTTATAATAACACACAACAATATACCATATAATAAAGCTACTACTTTCACACTTACCTGGGTTTTGATCAACATCGGCACCATTCACGGAAAAATAGCATGAAGAACTCCGGCTTCACGTCAAAGATAAATCTACTTCTTTTTGCCTCTGATAAATCTCTAAATTAAGAATGCAATTTTGTCGGAAAATAAATTTAACGTACTCAATAAGTATAGTTTTCACCCCATCTTATCTTTCAGACAATAACCCATCAATACATAATATCAGAAGTATGTAATGTTTGTATTAGACTCGTGTATGTCAAAATCTTCATAAAATTATACCTTTTAATTAAACTTGGAATAAAATCTCTTGCTCGGCAATTAAGAGGATTGAAGAAGAAAAAAAAAAAAAAAGCACGTGAGTGAGTTTGAGAAGGTAACATTTTGTTATTTAGATGAGTTTACACACAAACGCTAAACAAACCATATATATTCATCAATTTAATCTCGAAGATAAAGTCACCACAACTTACTTATATTATTCAATTATATTTTCTACTTTGCAAATGTATCAATCCTATTGTCACTCACTACATTACAGTTTTACGAGACTTTAAATTACCGGATAACTTCTTTCATGCAAAGTCAAATTTTAACAATGTGACGTACTTTATATTCTCGTGGCTTAAGGGAAAACTCTGCCTTGGCCAGCATGATATCACGTACATCTTTGCATGGACTCTCGATTCTCAAACATTTATGTTAAACCGTTTTGTGTGATATGTTACCGAGGTTTTGCATATACACAGTAAAATGGCTGGTTTTTAATGGTCCCAGATTTAGAGCGTCAAAATAAGAACACAAGAACAATTTGTTTGGCAATTAAGATTGCCTATTTTTGTGTTTTTCATTCATATAAATAGGGAAGTATATGAAACAAATAACAGAAGCAAAAGGTGGAGTCGTAACTCCTACAACTTAGGGAAAATGGGAAAGTGGAGAAGTATATCCTTGATACAAGGAAGACTGATTCTCTTAATAACTGAAACAACTTCAAAGCAAGAAATTGAAATACCGAATTATGCAAAGTACTTCCGGTTTGGGACCTTGATACGGTTTGACATTCTTCGATATGGTTCGGTAACTCCATCATTACACCCCTCCTCGAGAAGAAGGTTGTCCTCAAGCTTCATGTTTGAAAAACTCTGGATAAGCTGATCATGATTTTCCCATGTTGCGTCCTCGATGCTCAAACCCTCCCATTTGACTAATGATTCACGAACTACTGTTGTGCCGTCGGAAGAGGAACAGTGCTGAAGGGTTGCCTCGGGAACAAGACGCAAGAGTCCAGCGAATTGGTGGAAGCGAACCAGCTGTGGGTGTGTCGGATCCAACTCGGTTTTTCAAAAGAGAAACATGAAAAACAGACTGGACACGAGTACCTTCAGGAAGTGTTAGCCGATATGCAACATGACCAACTCGTGCAGCAACTTGAAAAGGACCAAAGTATCTTGTTGTCTTATGTGACGTGCGTTTGAAGATAATGTGTTGGCGATATGGTTGTAGCTTCAGGAATACCCAATCTCCAACCTCAAAACTAACATCTCGACGTTTAGCATACGATTATTCGCCTTGGTGAGGTGTGATTTCAGCTCCGTGAGTAAGGCGTCACGTTCTACCAGTTGCTCATCAAGTTCGTGGATTGGTGTGGTGCCTGATTCATAACCAGGGATCGGAGGTGGCTCGCGACCGTAGCTCCATTGAAGGGTGACATTCTCGTGGATGAATGGAACGTGGTGTTGTACCAAAATTCAGCCCACGGAATCATGTAGCTCCATTGTTTAGGCCTGTCGTGAACAAAACAACGCAAGAATTGTTCAATACAGCGATTTATTACCTCCGTCTGGCCGTCAGTCTGTGGGTGGTATGCAGAAGACATTCGGAGTTTAGTGCCAGATAGTCGCCATAGATCATGCCAGAATGAGCACACGAACACTGGATCTCGATCACTCACGATTGACTTTGGGATGCCATGAAGTTTGACAATGAACTCTATGAATTTCGAGGCGACAGACCTGGCGGTATACGGGTGAGCCAGAGGAACCAGATGTGCATACTTTGTCAAACGATCAACGACCACCAGGAGAGACGTGTGGTTGTCTGAACGGGGAAGACCATCAATGAAATCCATCGAGATATCCTCCCAAACCTGTTGTGGAATAGGTAGCGGTTGAACTAGTCCAGCGGGTGATAAGCTATCATACTTTGATCGTTGACACGTGTCACAAGCAGCAACATACTCAGAGACAGTTTTGTGCATCGAGGGCCAGAAGAACTGATAAGCTAGACGTTTGAAAGTCCGGAGAACACCAGAGTGACCACCGGCGTTAGAGTCATGGTATTCCTGCAGCAAGGCGTTGATAATGGGAGAGGCAGGGGGAACAACAACTCTGTTATTGTAACATACCAGACCATTGACACGAAGTTTCTGATGGGACTGAATGTATCGTTTGAATATAGTCGTCGTCATATCTTGATGCTCAAACCGATTCCTTTCATTGAAGATGTGTTTAACATGATCGCACATGATGAGAGGCAAAAGTCTATTAAGCCGAGTTCCAAGATCGACAATGTGGCTTTTCAGACTTCAGCTCCATCTGGTTCTTCTTATGATACTCAATTTGAGAACACGGCATTTGCAGCTCAACACCACAACAATTTCAAGTCGAAGCAACGTCCTCTTTGCACCTATTGTGGTCTACTTGGTCACATTGTTCAGAAATGCTACAAGCTTCATGGCTATCCTCCTGGACACAAGCTCCATGGCCAAGAATCTTCGCAGCAGAATATGCCTCGTGGTCAGAACAATTACGCACCAAAGAACAATTCTCAGACTCAATCTCGGTCTACTCAGTCAAATCTGCAACAGTAATGCGGTGGCTAATATCTTCGCTGGTGATCAACTTTACCAGCAGCCTCATGTTACTAATGCAGTGAATATTGACTTCAGTAAGATGAGTCATGACCAATTTCAGACTTTTATCCAGCAAATTCAGAGTCATGTGCGTCCTCCAGAGCATGTACTTCTGTAACATCCATAAACCAAATAATTGATAATTGATTTTGGTTCAATTTGAGTGAAATTGGGCCCGGTTTAGCCCGGTTAAGGGTTGAAACCCTTATTTTCGTTTTAAAGGAGAAGCAGCCGTCTGTTCATCACGTTTTTCGAGGCAGAGAAGGAGAAAGGCGATTTTGAGAGTTCCTGGAAAATCCGATTTTACTGTTCATCGGGTACTGTTCATCGGTATGTTCATCGGTACTGTTCACGGTTACTGTTCACGGTACTGTTCATCGGTACTGTTCATCCGCGATTCGGCACTGTTCATCGTCTTTCCTTTTTCCTTCAGTTTCAATCCATTGTCAAGGTGAGTGCATGACTGTGGGTCCGCGATTTGCTAGATTAGATTTGGTTTGTGATTGTTCTTGATGAGTTTATGTGTTTAATTGTTATTTCATGATATTTTGGTTGTTTATGTGATGAATTGTGTGTTTGTGTGGTTTAATCTGGTTTAATTGAATTAATTGATTTAATTGGTTTATCTTGGTTTAAATTGATTTGATTCTGGTTATTTGGTGTAATTGAATTAAAATGTTTTAATTCAAATTGTTTGATTTATTTTCGGATTTAATTAATTAATGATTAATTTAATTAATTAATTGATTTAAAATAATTATTTTAATTATTTTAAAATATGGAAAATTATTATTTAATTATGAGAATTATTTAATAATTGAGAAATTGAGTTTTAATTATTAAAATTATTTAATAATTGGAAAATGGTATTTAATAATTATTGGAGTTTATAAATATTATTAAATATCTAGTAAATTGCGTAAATGGCTCGTAGGCAGAGTGATTGCCTCACTAAGTATTTATTAAATACTTACGCAACTCCATTCCAATGTGTTGCAGGTAAAAGATTTGTGTGATCGCGGAATCAAGGCTGAAGAGGGGGATGATAGGATGTTTACTGTTTTATTGTTTTGCATTATTTTGCTAGACTTGTTTAATTATTATTTGCTTCCGCTGAGCTGATTTATTTGTTATTGATATTTTATTTATTTAATTTATTTTAAAGACCTTCGCTAGAATTGATTAGTATTTAATAAAAAAAAAAATGTTGGTTGTTTCAACTTCCTCCTCTACGTGCTTCAATTACTGAGTCTTGTCACATGGCTGCTCAATCTACGTCTGGTACTGTTTCAATACCTTTTCCTTCTTCTAGCCTTCATTTTGAACACAATTGCCTTACTTTTCAACACCAATGCCTTTCATCTCTTTACAATTCTCTCCCTGCTGGATCTTGGATAATTGACAGTGGAGCTACCACACATGTTTGTTTTGATTTGGCATTATTCAGCAATCTCTTACCTGTATCTGCTGTCACAGTCTCGTTACCTAATGGTATTAGAGAACCTATCTCACAGACGTGCATAGTGCATCTTTCACATGATCTTGTTTTGCATAATGTTCTTCATGTTCCTTCTTTTCGCTTCAATCTTATCAGCGTTAGTAGCTTGCTAAAGGACAGTAATTCTTCTAATCACTTTTACTCTAATCATTGCTTGATTCAGGAGTCTACTCAGGGCTTGATGATTGGTAGAGGCACTCTCATTCAAAATCTGTATATCTTACAGCCCTCTACCAGCTCAAACTTCTGTGGATCCTTGCTAGTAGATGGAGCTCTTTGGCACCAACGCCTTGGACATCCATCTTTTGCCAAGTTACAACATATTTCCGGTATTTTACGTTTACCAAAGCATAGTGAGTCTCATCATTGTACTGTTTGTCCTTTAGCTAAGCAAAAGTGTCTGTCTTTTCCTTGAATAGTCATTTGTCTTCATCGCCTTTTGATCTCATTCACCTAGATACATGGGGTCCTTTTTCTGTCGGGTCTGTTGAAGGTTACAAATATTTCCTTACTCTTGTTGATGATTGTACTCGGGTTACTTGGATATACATGATGGGGAATAAAAGTGATGTTTCAACTGTTTTTCCAGCTTTTCTTAATCATGTTAACCACTCAATATCATTGCACTGTTAAGAAAATTCGTAGTGACAATGCACCTGAACTTGCCTTTACTGATTTGATTCACGCACATGGCATCATTCATAAGTTATCTTGTGCATATACACCTCAACAAAATTCAGTCGTTGAACGTAAACATCAGCGTTTGCTTAATGTTGCACGTGCATTGCTTTTTCAATCTAATGTTCCTCTCGTTTACTGGACTGATTGCATTTATACTGCGGTTTTTCTTATCAATCGAACCCCTCTCTGTTACTATAAACTGTCTCCTTTTGAGGTTTTAGCTAAACATCACCGGATTATTATTTTCTGAGATCTTTTGGCTGCTTATGCTACGTTTCTACCTTACCAAAAGATCGTAATAAGTTTTCTCCTCGAGCTGAACCTTGTGTTTTTCTCGGATATCCTCCTGGTGTTAAAGGTTACAAAGTTTTAAATCTGGACACAAATGTGGTTTCTGTTTCTCGAAATGTGGTTTTTCATGAAAAGATTTTTCCTTTTAAGGACTCTCCTTCATCTTTTCCGATTGTTGATTTGTTTAACAAAACGATTTTGCCATTGCCTATTCATGTTGCTTTAGATCATATCATTGATGCTCCTCCATCTGACTTGTTACCTGCTTTGTCTCATGATTCTGTGCCATTACCTGATGCATCTCCTCATACTCATTCATCTGCATCACACTCTAATGCCACACCTATATCACTTGAGACTGTTTCACGAGGTACAGGTCAGAGTCGTCTGCTCAATGTAAGACCAAAGCGAACAGCACGAGCTCCCGGTTACTTATCTGAGTATCATTGCGCTCAAATCTCCTCTTCTTCTTCTGAGATTCCTTCCACCACAGTTTATCCTCTCTCTTCTGTTTTTGCCTACTCAGCCCTTAAACCAATTTCAGACCTATGTTCTCTCATATTCCCTTGAAACAGAACCGACTACTTTTAAGCAAGCCATGTTATCACCTCACTTTCGTCATGCCATGAGTGAAGAGCTAGAAGCTATGGAGGTTAACAGAACGTGGACTATTGAAAGCTTGCCTCCGGGTAAGAATGTCGTGGGTTGCAAGTGGGTCTATACGATTAAGTATAAGGCAGATGGTACGATAGAGAGATATAAAGCTCGTTTGGTTGCAAGGGATTCACGCAGCAGGAGGGTGTGGATTTCACAGACACTTTTTCTCCTGTTGCGAAACTGGTTAGTGTCAAACTTTTGCTTGGTCTTGCGGCTATCAAAGGATGGAGCTTAACGCAGATGAATGTCTTCAACGCTTTTCTTCATAGTGATTTGGATGAAGAGATCTACATGTCTCTGCCACAGGGTTATACCCCAGCTCCGGGATAAGTTCTTCCCCTAATCCTGTCTGCCGACTCCATAAGTCCTTATACGGTTTAAAGCAGGCTTCACGGCAGTGGTATCATTGTCTCTCTGCAGTTTTGGAGTGTGCTGGCTTCATTCAGTCTCAAGCCGATAACACATTGTTTGTCAAGCAAACTGGTAACAAGTTCACTGCTATCTTGGTATATGTCGATGATATGATCGCCAGCAACAGTGATGATGATGTTACTCTGCTCAAGACGTTTCTGCATTCAGAGTTCAAGATCAAAGATCTCGGTCCTCTCCGTTTCTTCTTGGGTCTTGAAATTGCCAGAACTTCAGCAGGAATCTCGGTTTGCCAGAGGAACTATGCTCTGAATCTTCTCTCTGACACTGGTCTTATGGCTTGTAAACCATGCTCAGTCCCTATGGATCCCGTGGTCAAGCTTAGCAAGGAATCAGGCGTCCCTCTCGATGATCCCACTCCTTACCGCGCCTTGGTTGGTCTTTTGCTCTACTTGACGATCACTCGGCCTGACATTACCTTTGCGGTACATTGTCTCAGTCAGTTTATGCATACACCAACTGATGTTCATCTCACGGCTGCTCATCGGATCCTCCGCTACGTCAAAAATGACCCAGGCCAGGGACTGTTCTACTCCGCTAAATCGGATCTCTGCCTCAATGCTTTCTCTGACTCTGACTATTCCACCTGCCCTGATACACGAAGGTCTATTACTGGCTACTGGGTTTATCTTGGCAGCTCCCTCATTATGTGGAAGTCAAAGAAACATGATATCGTAAGCCGTAGCAGTACGAAAAGCAGAATATCGGAGCATGGCACACACTACTTGTGAGCTTCTTTGGCTTCACCAGCTTCTCACTGATTTGAAGATCACAGTAACTGCTAAGGCCGAACTCTTCTGTGATAGTAAGTCGGCAATCTACATAGCGACAAATCCCGTGTTCCATGAACGGACGAAACATATCGAGGTTGATTGTCACATTATCCGGGATCAGGTGAAGAATGGCTTCTTCACACTCATGCATGTTGGCACTACAAATCAACACGCTAATATCTTGACAAAGCCTCTTCAGCCAGGGCCGTTTCATTCTCTTCTTGTTTGCATGTCCATTTCAAGTCTGTTTTCTCCTTCTCGTTGTCCAATCCCACATGCTTGAGGAGGGTGTATTAGAGTGTATAGACGGTTTATACCGGTTTAGTCACCTGATAAGTTTCCTTTTGCTTACTAAGTGTATATATATATAGCTCTTGTACAGTCATTGTGAATTAATGAGAAATATCAGATTTACATCTTAATATAACTTTTACAGGAAAATGAAGTAAAAAAAATTGATGTAACAGTTGGTTGACGAGTTTCAGATGTGAGAGTCATCATCAGAAGAGCAGGCGCAGAGCCTTCGTGTAATATGTGAGTGCCCAAAGAGTGAACATGTTCCTATAGGTTGGATAATGTAGCAGCATATTCATTTTGTAAGCTCCCCTTATTTCCTGCCAAATATACATTTACACTCATACCAAAAAAAAAACATTTACATACATAAATAAAAACAAGATAAATTCTTTAAGTTGCCACTAAAATAAGTTTGTGCTTCAAAAATAATATCACTAGTTTTAGTTTTTTCCAAAATATTAGTAATAAATAATCCCTTTCCAAAAATACAACAAATACTAAAATATGATTTTCAAGGGTTTATATTTTAAAATTTTGGGGTTGAGTTCAGAATTTTTGGTTTGGAGTTTAGGGGTTTTTTTTATTTATTTTTTCCATTTCTAGTTTTGTGGTATTCTTTGAAAATAAAACTGGTGATGGTAATTTTTTGGAATAAAAACTCAATTTTGTGGTAATTTTAGAATTGCCCTATAAACAATTGTTACAATTCCAGATTTTATCTTTTACGAAGAAAGTCTTTTAATATAACTAGGATAACAAAAACCATATACCTGTTGTGGGAAATCGCCGTTATCCATCTGCGAATTGATCAAGACTTTTGCGGCACGATGAACAGGCAAAGGGTCTCTCTCCATCTGACCACCCATAATTAGAACCATCATTGCTTGTCCTGTGTTCACCACATTGGTCTTGTTATTATCCAAAGGAGTATATTTTTTATAAGGGCAAGAGAGATAACTCTCTCCCCAACCGCCTTCTACATTTTGTATCTCGAGAAGGAACCAAACCGCTTTACGAACCGCCTCACAGTTCTCGTAAGTTTTGCCTGAAGCCACTAGACCTCGGACTGCAAAGAAGGTTCCATAGATGAAACATACACCCCAGTTCCCATACCATGAACCATCTGCGAATTGATCAAGACTTTTGCGGCACGATGAACAGGCAAAGGGTCTCTCTCCATCTGACCACCCATAATTAGAACCATCATTGCTTGTCCTGTGTTCACCACATTGGTCTTGTTATTATCCAAAGGAGTATATTTTTTATAAGGGCAAGAGAGATAACTCTCTCCCCAACCGCCTTCTACATTTTGTATCTCGAGAAGGAACCAAACCGCTTTACGAACCGCCTCACAGTTCTCGTAAGTTTTGCCTGAAGCCACTAGACCTCGGACTGCAAAGAAGGTTCCATAGATGAAACATACACCCCAGTTCCCATACCATGAACCATCTGGCATTTGCATGTCCTCTATGTATCTCACACCCTTCGTTATAAACCTATGGACCTCTTTTGTTCTGTGCTCTGGAAACTGTTTCACGAATCGAGCCAACACTACTATCGCTGAACCCGTGCATTCTAGATACTCCTGCTCGATGATTGTGTCCTCCATAAACTCAATCATCTAAAGTTAAGAGACATATTTGATTTTGAGACATATTTTTCATTTTATATCTAAAGTTAAGGTAATCCGCTTGGTCCAAGTGCAGACGTAAAAGTAAATAATTATGTAGTAACCTTATAAAAACAGTTTTAACAAAAAAAAAAAACCTTATAAAAACAGCAAATTGGTCATGTGGTGTATTTTCGGAAAAACAATTCGTAAATTGTTTTTATTTTTGTTAACAACAAGTAAAATGCGGGGTTGAGTCCGAATGGCGATGACAAATAGAATAAACTACTCCCTATGTTCCATATTATAAGCAGTTTAGGGACAATGTATCTGCAATCATCTGAATGTATCTAGATGCATTTATAATATGGGACATAGTTTCTATCAAGCTACATGCATGCAACTAGAAATAAACAAAAAATCAAGCGTAATACTGTTTTTTTTTTTTTTTTGAAAAATAGGTTTATATCAGAGCCAGGTTTCAAGCGTAATACTTATGTAAAATGTTTGAGATTTTTTCTTGTCAGAGCATAACATTTAGTTGTTATAATGCTATAAATTTGTTAATATAAACGTCATTCAGTTACCAATCTAGCTCAAATTCACAAATTACGTTGGTATACAAATATATTTTAAAACGAATAAATGGTAAGTACCTCTAGCCATTTTTTCCCACTTGCTGCCTCCCATATGGCTATACCTCCATTATCGCTCTGTAGTTACGATAAGATAATTACTGACAGAACAAACATGTGAAATTTATATTAACAAATACTATACCCTTTCTGACATGTCAGCAATATAAAATTTCGTTTTATGAAATTAATGTAACTTTTACCTAACTATGTAATTTGTGAATTTGAGCTAGATCTGTAACTGAATGATGATGATTTTTTTTTAAGGATTTAGATTTCATTTTGGAGGATTTGGGGTTTAGTTTTGAAGGTTATTAGATTACAAAAACTTATATTTTGTAAGTTTATTAGGTACTTTTGAGATTTCCAAGAGCCAATTTATATTTGTATGGGCATAACTTCTTTTTAACTTTTTTTAGTTCTCGAAAAGTATAATACAATTTACCTGCAAGTAGAGAAGCATATTGACGGCATCATAAAGCCTCTCCACATCCATCTTCTCACCAATAAACTCAGATGGCATGTTGTCAAATATCAGGCAGCACTGGCCACACACGCGAAAATAGTAATCAGATCTTTAGAGCAATAAGATGAACACAAAGGAAGAAATTCAAAGAGAGAAGAAGGGCACCTCTAAACTCTCAGAAATACAATCTGAAACTGGCCATCCTTGATCTTTATCCGAAAAACTCCACCCTCCTTTTGATATGTCTCTAAACATTTTGATATAATCACCAGGAGGATTCTCTGTAAGCTGAGATTTCCTCAAGTAAGAGTATCCCTTTATGAGCGTTGATCTAATCTCGTCGTCAACATCAGCGGCTAACATGACTTGTAACAAGAAGGCTGTATCCCATATTTGGCTACCAAAAGTCTGCACATGATGTTAATGATTAGTGATATCTCGAACAGATGCAACCGGAGAAGTCCAAACCAAGAAGGACCAAGAAGGACCAAGAAGGACCGTGCTTTAACGTAAGGAAAGCAAGACTCCCTTTTTGTAACAAGGATAAAACGTAAGTAAAAGAAACATCATGTGCTACTAGAATCATATTTATTTTCTTTTTTGAGAAAAGCATAACGCTACTATAATCATAATAGGACCAAATGGTTAACCTGGATTTTCAGGCCATCCTCCGCAATCCATATGAAACCAGGGACTCGAGCAAGATGTTTTTTGAAATAATCACTCTCTGGATCTTCAACCCAACAAGCAAGCATATGAAACACCTACGTATTTATCCCAAAGAAAGGAAAAAACATAAGACCTCTAACAAAAAAAAAAAAAAAACATATCACCTTTTGAAAAATACCCTAAAATAGATCCAAAAAAGTTTTTATTCTACATTTAGGAAACTAAATTTTTAAAATTCAAAAGAATACATAAACTGTTTTGGTAAAATTTGTTTACCCTAAATAAGTTATACATAAAATTAAAACATTATGTTTTTGGTTCTCTTTTTCCAAATGATGGTTTATATTTTTTCTATTAATTAGAAGTTTTGAATCATGTTTATGTTGAATTTTGTGTTATTATTGAAAAAAAAACTTATGAGTCTACTTTTGGAACAAAAACTTAGAAATGGTATATTTTAGAAAATTGCCCATCACGTTTCTTGGTCTCACTTTTTTTTTTTTTTTTTAAATGCTAAAATTGTTTACCTTTGGCACAGCTCCACCCGTAATGTATTGGGTTGCTTCATCATGGTAGTGCATGATTTTCATTGCCGTTCGAACAGCTTTTTCTCTAATGAGCTTGTTGAAAGGCCATCGATTTAAGATATTCTCCGAAAACATATGAACACTTTTCCAAAAAAAATCTTGTACAAATGTTTGTGGATAGTATAAATCTTCATGCGTTATCATCCGTTCGTTAGTACCAATCACCAATTAATCTTGAAATACTACTTATTTACATACAAGGCAATTTATTCATCGGTCACTGCATATATATGACTTAAAACTACCTTTGCGCATTGATTGCGAGCTTGGCTCCAATCAATATCCGCATAAGCCTGAGGATAAAGCTCTTCACGAAGCTTTAAGACGAGAGGTGTTGATGTTGAAACCGTTTCACTCATGTTTGTCCTCATAGTCATGTGTAGAACTATTAATCCATGTTTGGATAAGTATGGGTCCATCTAGTTCATCTTATACACTACAAGTGAGTTTCCACAATGTGGAGTCACAGAGGTACATTTCGGACTCCTTACCTCTTCCGGTTCCCAAATTAGGTCCATTTGATGTTCCTCCCTTGGATTGAGACCGTTTCACTCATGTTTGTCCTCATAGTCATGTGTAGAACCTATTAATCCATGTTTGGGTAAGTATGGGTCCATCTAGTTCATCTTATACACTACAAGTGAGTTTCCACAATGTGGAGTCACAGAGGTACATTTCGGACTCCTTACCTCTTCCGGTTCCCAAATTAGGTCCATTTGATGTTCCTCCCTTGGATTGAGACCGTTTCACTCATGTTTGTCCTCATAGTCATGTGTAGAACCTATTAATCCATGTTTGGGTAAGTATGGGTCCATCTAGTTCATCTTATACACTACAAGTGAGTTTCCACAATGTGGAGTCACAGAGGTACATTTCGGACTCCTTACCTCTTCCGGTTCCCAAATTAGGTCCATTTGATGTTCCTCCCTTGGATTGAGACCGTTTCACTCATGTTTGTCCTCATAGTCATGTGTAGAACCTATTAATCCATGTTTGGGTAAGTATGGGTCCATCTAGTTCATCTTATACACTACAAGTGAGTTTCCACAATGTGGAGTCACAGAGGTACATTTCGGACTCCTTACCTCTTCCGGTTCCCAAATTAGGTCCATTTGATGTTCCTCCCTTGGATTGAGACCGTTTCACTCATGTTTGTCCTCATAGTCATGTGTAGAACCTATTAATCCATGTTTGGATAAGTATGGGTCCATCTAGTTCATCTTATACACTACAAGTGAGTTTCCACAATGTGGAGTCACAGAGGTACATTTCGGACTCCTTACCTCTTCCGGTTCCCAAATTAGGTCCATTTGATGTTCCTCCCTTGGATTGAGACCGTTTCACTCATGTTTGTCCTCATAGTCATGTGTAGAACCTATTAATCCATGTTTGGGTAAGTATGGGTCCATCTAGTTCATCTTATACACTACAAGTGAGTTTCCACAATGTGGAGTCACAGAGGTACATTTCGGACTCCTTACCTCTTCCGGTTCCCAAATTAGGTCCATTTGATGTTCCTCCCTTGGATTGAGACCGTTTCACTCATGTTTGTCCTCATAGTCATGTGTAGAACCTATTAATCCATGTTTGGGTAAGTATGGGTCCATCTAGTTCATCTTATACACTACAAGTGAGTTTCCACAATGTGGAGTCACAGAGGTACATTTCGGACTCCTTACCTCTTCCGGTTCCCAAATTAGGTCCATTTGATGTTCCTCCCTTGGATTGAGACCGTTTCACTCATGTTTGTCCTCATAGTCATGTGTAGAACCTATTAATCCATGTTTGGGTAAGTATGGGTCCATCTAGTTCATCTTATACACTACAAGTGAGTTTCCACAATGTGGAGTCACAGAGGTACATTTCGGACTCCTTACCTCTTCCGGTTCCCAAATTAGGTCCATTTGATGTTCCTCCCTTGGATTGAGACCGTTTCACTCATGTTTGTCCTCATAGTCATGTGTAGAACCTATTAATCCATGTTTGGGTAAGTATGGGTCCATCTAGTTCATCTTATACACTACAAGTGAGTTTCCACAATGTGGAGTCACAGAGGTACATTTCGGACTCCTTACCTCTTCCGGTTCCCAAATTAGGTCCATTTGATGTTCCTCCCTTGGATTGAGACCGTTTCACTCATGTTTGTCCTCATAGTCATGTGTAGAACCTATTAATCCATGTTTGGATAAGTATGGGTCCATCTAGTTCATCTTATACACTACAAGTGAGTTTCCACAATGTGGAGTCACAGAGGTACATTTCGGACTCCTTACCTCTTCCGGTTCCCAAATTAGGTCCATTTGATGTTCCTCCCTTGGATTGAGACCGTTTCACTCATGTTTGTCCTCATAGTCATGTGTAGAACCTATTAATCCATGTTTGGGTAAGTATGGGTCCATCTAGTTCATCTTATACACTACAAGTGAGTTTCCACAATGTGGAGTCACAGAGGTACATTTCGGACTCCTTACCTCTTCCGGTTCCCAAATTAGGTCCATTTGATGTTCCTCCCTTGGATTGAGACCGTTTCACTCATGTTTGTCCTCATAGTCATGTGTAGAACCTATTAATCCATGTTTGGGTAAGTATGGGTCCATCTAGTTCATCTTATACACTACAAGTGAGTTTCCACAATGTGGAGTCACAGAGGTACATTTCGGACTCCTTACCTCTTCCGGTTCCCAAATTAGGTCCATTTGATGTTCCTCCCTTGGATTGAGACCGTTTCACTCATGTTTGTCCTCATAGTCATGTGTAGAACCTATTAATCCATGTTTGGGTAAGTATGGGTCCATCTAGTTCATCTTATACACTACAAGTGAGTTTCCACAATGTGGAGTCACAGAGGTACATTTCGGACTCCTTACCTCTTCCGGTTCCCAAATTAGGTCCATTTGATGTTCCTCCCTTGGATTGAGACCGTTTCACTCATGTTTGTCCTCATAGTCATGTGTAGAACCTATTAATCCATGTTTGGATAAGTATGGGTCCATCTAGTTCATCTTATACACTACAAGTGAGTTTCCACAATGTGGAGTCACAGAGGTACATTTCGGACTCCTTACCTCTTCCGGTTCCCAAATTAGGTCCATTTGATGTTCCTCCCTTGGATTGAGACCGTTTCACTCATGTTTGTCCTCATAGTCATGTGTAGAACCTATTAATCCATGTTTGGTAGTATGGGTCCATCTAGTTCA